AATGGTTTGGTTGGTGGTTGTTTTGTTTGCTCATATTGTGAATGTTCTTTATACGCTGAAAACCATAAAACAACAGTTAGCTTCTTTTACCTTCATAATTTCACGCTTACCTTAAAACCGCCTACACAAACAATACCAATGCTTTGTGCACTTCTGTTTTTGTTATTATTGTTTTATGTTTGTTTGTATTGTGGGATTCTTATGCAAATAAAATAACGAAAAGCAAAAATAAAGTGAAATTTTTCGATTGGGTAATCAAGTTAATATGTTGGCGCCACGGAGATGTGATATTGTCTGCTTAAGTGGACGGGTTTATGTTGAGGTTTTTACTGTTAAACACTCAAACGATAAGCCTCGATGATCAGTCAGTTAAAAGCTTATATAAAGGGTTAAGGACTCTGTGGGATAAAAACTCAGTACTTTACACAATTTGTGAAGCTTACATTAGAGGTATGTTAAGTCGTCTCCCTTGGGAGTGGCCAGAAACGATTCTTTAACATAAAGCTCAAGCAGCTCACGACTTCCGACCAAGTCTCTTCTGTGTACCCAACAAACATCCGTTTAAAAACGAGATAAGGTGGGAGAGCGAAACATCCCTCCCCAGGTTTGTGCGCTGGATTTGGGACCCGAGAAATGCCTGAGCTTGCCGATCTGCTGACAAAAGAAGCTGTAACAACCACTTCTATAGGACCTGAAACGTTTTTAGCCGCCCAAACTTAAGGAAAGGAGCTACGAAATGAGAAAAAGTCAGTCAAAAACCCCCACTGACCATAAGTGTTTGGGCTTCGATGGGCGAGACAGTTTCTTGGAAAGTTTCATAAAAAACGGTGAAAGAAATCTATTCACTTTTCCCAAAAACAAATTAAAGCAGCTAGTGGGATGTCTTACATATCACTCAGGCTGCGGTGCCATCTGCACAGTTTAGGGTACTGCTCTACGGACCTGTGTCGCGTCTGTGATAAAATAGCAGAGGAGAGACAAGAGTTGAAACTTATGGGTTGCCAAGCATTAGAAAGAAGATGGACCCAGGCTATCGGGTAAACGAATCCGGTGATAGAAAGCATTACAACCATTAACCCGGAGCTTTACTATACCTCTTTGATTTGACTTGGTTAATATGGCACAATAGATCACAGGTCGTACAACATTTCTCAAATTTCAAACTATCTATCTCAAAGGTCCATTTACTTTTTAAAAGTGGACCCTAAAAAGGTATATATATCCCATGACAGATGTAGAATCATCTTCATTGCAATAACTATCAAAATGTCGTAAACCAAAGCATTCTAACTTACTACTGTCATAACCTAAAGCAAATGTTTCAACATAACCTCACTTTTGTTATAATATGTAAACAAATACACCATGGTATCATGGTAACTGCCACCGTTATCTAAATTAATACAGTTAATTTAGATATGTATGCAAGTAATGTACTCGTAAGCATAAAATCCGTTGCGAGCTTAATGAGCATTTGCGCCGACAATTCAAGGAGGCATGGAAATGCATAATTTCCAACTCACGACTAACATACTTACATACATATTTATTGTGTAATCAGGTGTAGGTGGAAGTCAACAACCACCCACTGAAGAGCATACACACACACAAACTAAAATGTTCGTAACTAAGCGAGCAAAGAACTTAAGCAGCCAGTAGCCATGGCTGCTTCACTCTAGAGTCCTTAAAACATGTTACCATTCATGAAGATTATGATAAATTTAAAAGATAAATGAAACAACAAAGCATACATAACGGCACTTTTAAGTGAATATGGGTTTATGGGACAAAACGGGTTTCCTTAATAAATATTTTTGAAGCTACCGCCATAAAAAGCTAAACAATTTAGTGTATTTGTACACATAATTTAGTGTATTATAACACAGTAAGCAGTAAGGGTGCATAAATACTGCTGATTTGTAAACCTGTGCGCATATGTATAGTTTTAGGCGCACTAAAATGTTCGTTCACCTCCCACTTAAGCAGCTGACAATAATATGCTTGCGCGCATAAATTGTTTTAAAGCGCCAATGGCAGCGAGTCAGTATATGCTTGGCAAAGTAAATTACCGGCAAAAATGTGCCAGCCAAGTCGACAAGTAAAATCTCACGCCAAAAAGTATACTTCCAGCACATATTTATTACCCACACTACTCCTTCATTTGATACAAGTGTACATACATATATACATAAATATAACGTGTGTGTGAGCGCAAAATAACGGCAATCATCAATAATCTTAAAGACAACACGCCAGCTGATACCAGTTGCCTGGTCGCCAACCCATGTAGGCCTCAACTTCGCTACGCTGGCAAAGTTCAAGATACTCTGTCGACATAGTGTGACATTGATAGGCTGCCTGTTTGGCTGGCTGGCTACCGCTGAGCGTTGATTGCTTTGAACGTTTAGCCCATGCACATGGGGGCAGTATGTCAACTTGGCTGGACGACATAAATGATAGCATGCCAGCTTGTACTGCCAGTGCGCTTGTTAGTCCGCTTGCCGGCTTTCCTGTACTCTCCTTCCATATCCGCTTCGCATGCACACTTCCGTTGTCGATTTTACATTTTTATCACTTGCAATAAGTTTTGGCAGCTGTTGGCACTTGTCCGTCCGTCTTTACTCATTCGCCAGGGCAGTCGTCGATAAGGATTGTTGGAGCGGCTGCCTCGCTCCGCCTTGCATGTTTTGCTCGAAAAGTTTTCATTTGCAATTTATGTTTTAAATTGGCGCGCATTTATATTAGAAAAGCATTTATGCTACAATGTTCTCATTCTTTGTTATTTTTTTTATCCAAAACTATTTTTGGACCAACGCCAGCTGTGCAGCAATGGCCATTAGATGCGCGTCATTGACCCGTACACCCTTTCCCCATGCAACTTCCTGCTACACTTAAGACTACTCCTTTCAGCTACTCCTTAGCTCGCTTATCAGCATATTTGACCTTTTCTAGCCCTCACTCACGCTACTTTTTGCTTTCCTCCTCTCTTCGTTCGGGTTGAAATGGCATCATTACACCATAATGACATATCGATTCGTTCACTAGCGTTCGCCATAAATTATTGGCCAAACATACTGCTCTGTAACAGTTTAACAATGCCGAGATCCCAGTTGTGCCGCAACTGCGCTTCACAAAAATTAAACTTCATTTTTTTTCGCTGTTTGACCCTTTTTCATTTGCGCGTCGAAATTTTTTTTCTGTGCGTTTATTTCGACCCCTTAATGTTAAACAAACGCGGTAAAATAAATCGAAACAAAATTGGCTGCCTTGGTGATATATAAGGAATCGCACGTAATATATAACGGTGCCATTTAGGGTTGCCAAACAGCGGCATTTTATGAATGTGAATATATTTTAAAAAATTTTAATAAAAGAATTGCGTAACCTCAAAGGCCCTCATAGTTAATGCACTGAAGGTTATGAACGCATATTAGAAGATTCCAGACGATTCGAAGAGGAAACAAACTTTTATCTTTAATTAAAATTAATTTTTTAAACACCAATTTTTTTGGAATTTAAAATTTGGCATAGTTTTCAATACATTTTACAAATGACAGCCTGATAGTTTTTTCGTGTTCATGCAAAGTAAAATTGAAAACTTGATTTTATAACAGAACCTCGAGTAGTTATGCTGATGAAATGATGAGCTTAACTCGAATTGAACTGGTCAAGATAAATATCAAGTATATTATCAAAATCAAGCTTTTCCTAAGAAATTTCGAGGAAAGCAAGGACAGTTTTCCGTATTATTGTTCGTTACGATAGGGATAATGTTGGAGCGCCCATTAAACGTTTACATATCGCATTGTTTGCTTGATATTTATTTTCTTAAACATTGGGCTTTTATAACAATCTTTTTCTCATATAAAAAATGCAATATTTTATTCGAATTTTTTATTGTTTATACAAATATATTTTTTAACCTCGGTCAATGCGACGCCATTTCCAGTGAGATATCATACCAACCGACTTCAAAAACGCAGTTCCGAGAAAACGCAGAAGTTCTCAAGTCCTTATCTCCGAAACTATTACTCGGATCAACTTTACTTTATCAACTTTACAACAAAATTTACGACAATATTGTAAAGGTATTCTAGAACTTAATTTCACATTAAAAAAAACGATTTTTTTTATCCTTCAAAACTGTGTAACCCCTTAACTGATAATTTTGCGTGCAAAGTCGTACAGCATTTTAATATTGCTTTGTTGTGTAGCTTGTTCGGCTTCCAAAGCTAGGCTATCAGTCCAGTTTATCTCGTCTATACATTTTGTTGATTAATTGTTGCTTGATCCCTAACTTATTTTAGCCCTCATTGTCTCTGGATTAATTTCTAAATTTCTTCGATGATCCAATCTTTCTTTCCTTCTGATGAAGAGCTGCAACGAATTTCACACCTGTTATGAGATTAAAGCTCTTAGTATAGTCTGACAGATTCAATTTTAAGCCTAATTTAGGCGTTCTTTTTTTAAATTTTTGTTTTAATATCCGAAAAGATACGTTCTGTATTCTTCTGTATTCAATTTAAAACAACATAAAATCACAATATTTTGTTTTTGCACTCCAGTGCAATTACGGTCAATTGGCAACCCTTTTTATACCACTACTATTTACCTACACACACACATATGCTTGCGAGGGTGATACTTAGCCAATTTATTTGTTCAATACAAACAGTCGTCACCAACGAGCTGCACCATCCGATAAGGCAAATAACCAACGGGGCCGCGATATACCTTAGTACAATTTCGAAATCAGAAAATCACAAGACAGCGCACAAACAGAACGAGCAGGTGAAACATTGCGAAGCCGCACAAGCCAAAGCAACGTGTTAGCAATCAAGTGAAATTGCAATTGCGCATCGCATGTTGCATACACCATGCCCAGCAGCATGCCTTGCACCCAAAAGCAAAATACTATAGACGCTCATTATTTTTATTTGAATGGCGACTATGTATTTATTTTTTCTTTCTTTCCGTATCTTTGCAGTGCTTAAGACAACATGAAATTGGAATACGATACAAATCCGTTCAAGCGACCGATGAATGCGTTACAAAAACAATGGTACCGCGTACTTATCGCCCGACGTGTTGGCTACGGGCCGCCGCTATCCTCGAGCAATGCCAACCAAACGCAAACCTAGTGAGTAGCAAATAGTGAATAAAATACAGACAAAAATTCTTATTTAAAAAGGAGGCAAGTGCTGACAGAGTAGCGGGGGGCGGTTGAGCGTAAAGAGGGATAGAAAAAATGGTATTAAAAATAGGAAAAAAGAGAGAAAAATAATAATGACACATTCAGTTGGCAAAGGCAGTGAATAGCTATGCACTGTGACAACAATTGCAGTTGAAGCAAAAACAACACATATCTACAATATACATAGCTATACTTTAGAGTACTTCCTCTGCTTTCGTCTGTGTGTACTTTGTTGTTGCCCAACCAGGAAGACAACGCAAAAGCGCAACAAATCTTTTTACAATTCGTCAGGAAATTGCATTTCCTTACTGCCTCGTTTGGCTTGATTTGATTTGCTTCCTCGCAACCAGCTTTCAAGCATTCAACGCTCAGTGCTGCCCATGCTTAGCTGGGACCTTGTGTGCGGTTTGCTGCCGGCGCTGATCCGTGTACTCGAGTAGTTAGCGCTCTTGTACGTGCAGTGCACACATCGTGTCGTAGTTGTAAATCCCTCAAGGGCTTCGAAAATGCACTCGTGCATACGCTCATAGAATCTTACATAAACCAGCTAGCAGTAGACACACACACACACACGCATATTAGTCATGTCTCAGACTGCCTTTGCCTTTATGTTTATGTGGTTTTCATTTCATGTTCCATTTCTTTTTATTTTTTTTTTGTGGTTTACCTTGCTTGGCTCCACGTCTTACTCGTTCCTGTGTGCTCAGCAAATATTTTCATTCCATATTTCACATGATTGTCCTTTTATTCTCACTGCTGCACCTGTAATCCATCGATTGCATCTCAACAATTCAACTTCTTTCCATTTGCCTTGCACTACCCTGCTCTGCGCCGCCTCTCGCCTCTCGCCCCTCGCCACGCTGTCCTTCTTGTCATATTTGCGCTGCGCGCAGTCAGCAAGTTTGCCAACGGCGCTACATGGACGCATTCCGCCGTTACAATGCACAGTTCCGTAAGGAAGTGCAACAGCACGAACTCATGCAGCCGACTGCCATCGATGCGATGCGTGTTCACAGGTATGTTCCCCAGTTTATTGGATAATTTTTACAATGTAGTTTGTTATACACGAATTGGATAGCACAAATGCAAATATAACATTATTTTTAACATAAAAGTGTTGCACGAGCGAGCGAGCAGTGAAGTAATAAGCTCAGTGTAAACATATTTTTAGCCAAACTATTCTAAATTGCTGTATTGTTATTATACATTTAATTATAAATTTTTAAATTGCTTGTACAGTCATCTTAATTACGCCTGTCGATTGCATCCTAAATGTAGGCATCATCATTTAGTTTTATCGCGCACAAAACAGTTTAACAATTATTATTGCCTACAATTGGGCGCTAAAGTATATGTAGCAAAGTCGCACACCTTTAGGTGTTATGATAAATTTTCTCCAGGTATCTTTTGCACATTCTCAAAAAGTATGAACACATTTTTTTCAATAAAAGAAATTTCCGCTAAACGTAGTTTTTAAGGTCATAATACAAGGGTAACCCACACATATATATATGTATGCTAAATATTTTAAAACAACCTGCAATAACTTATAGATTTTTATGAGTAACTTTGATAAGTTGGAAGAATAATCATGATTCTTAAGTTCATCTCGACATTTGTGAAGCATTTGGCTTCGAATTTTAATATATTCTCCGTAAATCAAAAATAAATGAATCCCAAATTTCTTAGTATTCCCTAAGATTGGCCGATGTTACTCTGATAGGCTCCTGAGCCACATATAGACTGATTTTCGTTCTTAACGATGCCAGATAGAGTGCCGTTACGTAGTTCATTTGAAGTAGTTATCCTTCTGGGTGCCAGCTCATGACACGAGTTTCAATACTTCCTGTAAACTCACTATCGTGAAGCTCCCGAACCTTTAAAGCGTTGCTTGTAAGTGTGAGATAAGTGCACAAGAAACATTTTCTGCAGTTATCACGATCCGTCACCTCTATTATAAAAGCCTGTACTGTCACCAGACTGTGAGCAGGTATTATTCGATTTCTGTTCTTATAGTCTCTTTTATCAAAAAAGAGAACTGTGTGTATTTTTGATCAACCGACTTTTGCAGTTTTGCAGCTCGATAGATCATTCATTCCTTGCCAATCACTTGTCCAGATCGTCGTAAAGGCAATACGTGAGTCTTCCAACGTCGGTCATATTATCGTAAGGTCGCCGTTAACCACTTTTGGCAATTCCGTCCACTCTTATTGCCTTCGAAGCCTTTATTACCTGGCACCTGGTTCTTCAAAATTTCAAATCAAAAAATTTTTGTTCTATAGGGTTTGAAAAGGATCCATTCCAAAGTTGTTCTTCGAGGAACTGAATTATACATATTGTTTTGGCAGCTCCGGTAAAAGTGTTGCCACGTTGTTATATTTGAAAAAGCAACTTGTAAATTAAATGCTAAAATAATAATTGGGAACTTCTCATTTAAATCTTACATTAGCGGTTTCTCATCAGTAGGGAAAAATTAACTTTTTGAAGTTCGAAATTTTCGAGTTTTTGCGAATAGCTAAAACACATAATTCAAGAAAAATTTGACTAACACATCTTCCAATTTGTGCACCCCTCTCTTCTAAAAGTAAAGTGTATCTCATTGCATACACACCAGCACTACTAAGCACCCAAGCAATCACAAATTCAGTAGAACATTTAAAAACGTGGAGAAAGCTAGAAAACCGAAGCAATTTTACTAAGCTCGCTAAAACTTAACACCGTTGTTGAGTATTTATTTCACCTTTCGTTGACCCACTTGGCTTAATTCGCTTTTAACACCGAAATTGCAAAGCCCACAAAAACACTGAAAAGGCTGCACGAGCCAAAAGCTAAGCACAAGCAACAACAATATCAACCATCTACATCACAAATACTCGGACACCTGCTTTGTTTTTGTTGTTTTGTCAAGCAATTAACTATGTACAGTTAACACTTTCGTAGCAACTACAGTTAGAAACTTTGATTAGCACCAACACCAGCTACAACGACAATAAAAGCACATAGAAGAGTGTAATAAATAGGAAACAACTGTAGCAACATTTCAAACATTTTTGACATATTTTAGTAGAGACGGCGGAGGAAAATAAAACATTCTCGCATTTCGCTGCTCTCTCGCCCATAGGACCTTCGCCATTACAACACTTTGGCCGCCCTTGCACTCGAAACGTGAAATAAATCTGACACTGGAACAATTGGAGAATGTTTTGAGTGTCAAAGAAAGGTGGCGTTTGGAGGAGATACTCAAGCGTGAAACGAAGCACAGATAAAGTGGTTACGGAGAGCAATGTGAGATAGGAGGAATGGGAGTAGAGAAAAAACGGAGATAAGTGGAATGAGAGGGAAGCATCAGTTGCAAATGAGGAAGAGATACTTACTTACTTGAAAATTATTTCGGCTGAAGGAAAAACAAAGAATAGACAGGTTCCAAAGTAATAAAAGGCAACAATAAATATTTGCTTTGAAATTTAAGTTAAAATAGTAAAAATAATTGCTTACAAAGATATTATACATAAAATATCCATAGCCTTTTTATTCAAAGTTTTATTTATCATCTTCATGTTAGGGACCCGAGCTTCCGAACAATTTGCGAACTTTTCGTGTGAGCTCAGACTTCGTATCTTGGATTGTGTGTTCCTTTAAGTAGAACTCATTTGGCTGTAGCCTTCTCATTTAAAATATGGACCCATTTATTGCCTAATATTATTTAAAGTTAAGCGTTCCTAATGTCGAGTTATGTTTTTAAAGTTACGATTGAAGTAGTATAAAATATTGACGGTTTCTAAGAATATCTATAAAAAATTTCATCATAATATTTATGACAAATAACATAATTAAAATTACTTTGTAAAAGTAATTATTTTAAACCCCCCACTGTGGTGAGTTTCTCTCTTTGAAATACAGTTTTGACTAATCTAACTCTAGAATCTTTTTATCTTTTAAAATGATAACCAGCAGTTTTTGCAATAATAATTAACACCACATACTGTGGTGAGTTTCCATATTTGAGAATCTATTTTGACTGAATTGACGCTATTAATGTTTATCCTTTGAAAAGAAATAAGCACCAATTTTGCCAATTATAACTCACACCATCCACTGTGGTGAGTTTCCCTTTTCGAACTTCTTCATTGACTAAATGAAATTTAACTTATTCTTTTCTATTAAAAATGAATAACCGGCAGTTTTTACAATTATTACTTAGGCCACCCACTGTGGTGAATTTTCTTTTTTGGCCTCCTTCTTTGACTAAATGAAATTTGGCTATTTATTTCTATTAAAAATGAATAACCGGCAGTTTTTACAATTATTACTTAAACTACCCACTGTGGCGAGTTTCCTTTTTTGGACTTCTTCTTTACCTAATCTAAACCTAATTTTTTTACCTCTTAAAACGTAATGGACCTCAGTTTTTACTATTATAATTCACACCGAATACCGCGCTGAGTTTCCTATGTTTCCTATAAAGTTTAGGTTTAACTGGTTTAGACTAAGTCTAAGACTTCTTTATCTATTCTAAAAAGAAATAAAGAAGGTTTTGCAATTTTCAATTTCTTCGGCTAATCGAATAAAAGGAAAATTCAACAACAGTTGTTTTTAAACTCATAAATCTGATATCTTCTCCAACTACACTCATTAACGTTCAGATACGGAACAATCTACCATATCAGTACTAAAATCTAAAGTGCAATCGATAGCACCCAAAATCTTCAGCTACTGTATGTATGTACATGCGAGACTTTTCCCTCTCTGCATTGACATATCATATCGTAGCCACAGCAAGTAATGCCGTACAATTTCCTCACACACACACGCTTCATTTTACGCTCAACGCAGCGCGAAGCGCCGCAACAAATTGCAATGCGTGTGATTAAGCGCAAACGGCGAGATCTCGACTGACTAACAAAACTGATATATATGAGTAGTATTACTTAGTAATGAGATGGGGAGCCCAACCCAAGTGAAGCGCCAGCAAAAACACTGTTTACTCGTAGTCAATGGGGCGGGGCTGACCGCCAGCGGCGCTTACTCGCATTGCAAATCTCGGCCCAAAATATCGACAACTGACAAAATGTGTGAATTGAATTTTGAAAAAGATTTCCGTGGCACGTTTTGCAGCATATCATGAGCTGCCGGCGGTGTGGTGAGCAAATTCGAGCGGTTTGCATTGAACCACTAGGATGCGAACGCGGCGCACAGACAATGAGGAGTTTGACTTGAAATTGTTGAAAAGTTGATTACATCCATACACCGTTATACTTACCGTTACATAAACAAACATTCAAACATATACAGAAACAAATAAATAGGTATGAGCGGGAACGTGTTGTTTGTCGCTTGAAGTGCGGCATCGCGCTGCAACTTTGTCGGTATGCGCGCTCATTTCTGTCTCAACCGCCGCGAGTTGGCTGCTTTTTTACGGTTAGCGCATTGCTTTCGTTCAGTCATTTTAGGTTTTTGGTTTGATGCGCCTTTGACTGGGAAGTTTTTGATTTGGTTTGGCTTGATTTGGTTTGCGCGTGTTGTTCACTGAGCGCACACACACACACGAATAGCTGAACACAGTGTCGAACAACGTCTCTTGCTTTATACGCCAAGCCACTTGCCTGGACTTGACTCTCATTGGCATTGCGCTCACGTCTCGGATGTTTATGCCATTAGAGCGATAAGCTGCTGCTGTTCGCTGTCAGACGCGCACGCCTGCATAACAATTGCCAACACTTTGCTTCGGCCACTGCCGCCTCGCACTTCCTCAGCTGCCTTTCCCATCCTTAGTGCCTAGCGTCGTCACGCGCTACCGACACACGAACGAAATTTAGTTTTCTGGGGTTAAGTGGCGCTCACTATTCCGTTGTTGCTTTTGTATTTGTGTGTTCTTTTGTTTATATTAATATCGGTTGAATTTTAGCAATGGCGATTGTTGCTCACTTTAATTTCGGGGTTGCGTGCGGTTAGAGGAAATTTTTACTGCTTTCAATTGATGGTTGGAGCAGGGAAACTCCGTATACATACCAATAATTCATTAACGACAACAAGATCGATCAATTTCGTTGTTAATTTTGCTTTATTCCTCGCAACATGGTTTGCATTCAAATGAATTTCAATTGTGTTTGGAGGGGTAAAAGCTTAATTGGTTGCTGAGGCGTATGAAATTAAGAGAACATTTTATATGGAGCTATTGATAGTATGGGCGTTGTTTAAATGCCATTAGGATGTTATTAACAGATTTCCATAAACGAGTGCTATCTCATCTAAAGCTGATTTTCAAGCCTGAAAGATTTAAATTTTTTCACATCAACGAGATAAGCTCCATTGCAAACGCTTTTCTTCTTTCATTTATATGAAGGCTTTTACACTTAAAGCTCTTTCATAAGCTTAAAAGCTACCTATTTCTTCACCTAAATAAAAGCTTTTATCTCTAAAGCTAGAGAAGGCTAAAAACTTTAATTTCTTCACTCGAATAAAAGGTTTCACGTCCCAGGCGCTTTTTCGAGCTTGAAAGCTTTCAGTTTTTTCCATTAAATAAAAGATTCCACGTCTATGTCTGCTTATCTAGCTTAAAATCTAAAAATTTCTCACATTAATAAAAGCTTTCACATATAATCCTCCTTCCCAAGATTAAAAGCTTCCAGGTTTTTCGCTTAAATGAAAGTTTTCACATCTAAAGCTCCATCCGAAGCTTAAGAGCATTTCATTCTTTCACTTTAGTAAAAGCTCTCCCATTCAAAGCAGCTTTTCAAGCATAAAAGCTTTCAGTTTTTTTACTTAAATGAAAGTTTTCACATCTAAATCTCCTTCTCAAGCTAAAAAATTTTTAATTTTTGCACTTAAATAAAAGCTTTCACATATAAAGCTTCTTTCTAAGCTTAAAACTTTTCAACTTTTTCACTGAAATGAAAACTTTGCTAAAAGCTCCTTACCAAGCTTATGAATTTTTAATTTTTTCACTTTTACATATAAAGCTCGATCGTAAGCTTAAAAGCTTTCATTTTTTCATGCATATGAAAGCTGTCACATTGCAAATATATGCAAAATTTACTGCTAGCAGATGTCCCATTCGTTTAAAAAGTGTTAAATCGACTTCTATGTTATGAAAAGATTAGTCTTCGCGGAGAGAATTCTTGAAACATGTACTAGGTACTTTATCGGAAATAAAATATATCATTTACTACGAAATTCTCAAAGATTTTTTGGTATTAGAAAAACTCAAAGTATAACATTGAATTTCCTTTCATTGGAAACATAAATAATTAAAAGTGCCATAAAGAAACAACAAATAAAGAAACGAATAAAAATGTTTTGACAAAAAAATTTTCAAAATTTTTTAACATAAAGAAAATTAAAAAAAGAATATAAATAATTATATATATATATATATCTAAAATAGATTCTTATTCTGGGATTATTTCACAGCAACACGTCAATGACATCTTCAAACAGCGTTCTATATATCAAACAATAACAGAAAGTAAATAAAAAAAATAAATAACACAAAAAAGCGTCAAGCTCCAGCTTCACTGCAAACACAAAAAAAGCACATTACCATTATTCACACATCCGCCAAAATATGGATGAAACGAAAGTACTTGAAGCCGCACTCCAGAATTGTCACCATCTCGAACGCTCCATCTACGAATCTATACGACTGGTGCGACGCCTGAACATACGCTACAATTCCGATTGGCTGCTGAAGAACTATAAAAACTATATGGCAAACATTTGGTCGCAATACCAGTGCACGAGTCAAGTACCCGAGACGGCGCGCAGTGCCACCTCGGTCCGCTCGATGCCCGTGCGAGCGAGCAACGCCAAGCTTACGCTTACGCTGTTGCCGAAAAAATCGTCACATGTGGCGTTGAGTGCGCGCAGTTCGCACGAGTTGTGCGGCATCAGTCGACAAATCAACTACAAATTCATCAAAATCAAACGCAGCATGGAGACGATCATCCATCAGATACAACACGCTATCGAGATATCGAATCGCCAGCGCAACTTTGTGCATCTAAATGTGAATGCACGTGACAGTCGAACACGTATCTGTTGCCATTGAGCGCCTAACAATGAGTCACGTGGTGGATGTGTTGAGGCAAGTTGGTAGTGAGATGACGGTGTTGGTGTCTAAAGAAGTCTATGGTTCGTACTTGCTTTGGAATCGCTGGCAATGGAGTTTCAATGATGTGTGATTTATTTTCGGTATTTCGAATTTTTCTTCGCAAAAGGACTAAAATAGTTTCATGTCCATATAAATATGTATGTATTTGGTACATAA